TATTAATAAATTATTATTTTATTTAAAAAATACTAAATACAAATTAATTTTCTAGGCAATTTGTCTAGAATACAGTTTAAGAAATAGGTTTTAAGTATATAATTATTTTGAATCTTTATTTATATAATTTTTAAATATTAGGCCTCTATTTGTAATTATTTTTATTTTAGACTCTTATTTGTAATTATTTTTATTTTTGAACCCTTATCTGTAAATTTTTTCAAAAATTATCAGTAGAAAAAAAAATAAAAAAAAATAAAAAAAACAAACAAAACCAAAAAAAACTATAACTATAAGATGATTTTTAATAAAATTTTCAGAATAATTATTAGTAATATAATTATTAACCTTATAATCAAGATTATTTTATCAATTAAATTAATAAAATTTAATAAAAAATTAATGTTTAAAAGTTATTTTAAGATTTTATATTCTAAAATAATATTTTAAGTTATTATTTCAGCATAATATAACACTATTACTAGTACAAATACATAAAACATATACAGCTTGATTGTAAAAATTTATAATAAGTTGTTTAAGATATTTCTATTTTTTATTTTTAGCTATAATAATTATATTAAATATATAATTAATTTAACTAAATAATATAATACAGTAATGTTTACTGGAACACTTTAGTGGAAATTACTGGAACTGAAAGACCACTGGACTTAATTGGACAAAATTAGAACTAGATTTGTTTCTAGTAATCAGATGTTCACTGGAAAGTTCTAGTGAAGATTTTTGTTCACTGAATGGAAGTTCTAGTGATGTCCAGTGATGTCCAGTGACTTCCAGCAACTTTAAATTAAAAAATTTAAAAATAAAATATATGTGTTATATGTATGTTTGATGCATGTACATACATACATATATATTTGTATTAAGTATTTTGAAAAAAACTGGCAATTAACTTTACTTTCTGTAATTGGTTAAATTTAAGTATTTATTTAGATCACCTCTCTTGAAATCGACTATCGTAGCATTCATCCTGTATGATTGTGCATTTATATCTATTGTTTTATATAAAAAAGACATGCGAGACCTGCAGGTCAATAGTGCAGTGGTTAGCACTTCCAGATCATATTCGCAAGGTTGCCAGTTCAATTCCAACTGAGGGAAAAAGCTATGCCAGGACCACGATTGTTATGATCTTAAGGGGATTTCTTATTTCTACTTCTGGACAAGAATATTACAAGAATGAATGATCTATGGGGATTGTCTACTTCCAATTTTAGACAAAGTACTACAGCAAGAACAAGTCAAGTGACATAACCATAAGGTTACACAACACCCAGATAAGGAGATAATCTGACAAGAAACATTAATAATATAAAGATCCCAGATTAAAAAATTATTGTAAAAGGCAATAGAGATAAGGAGATGAAACCTAGAAGGACTATTGTTGATAGAGAACTGCAGACTCGAGTAAGAGGTCCTACACTGCAGGGCCAGGAATCCAGATTATTACAATAGTGATAAACTTGTTAATAATATGGTATAGTGGAGCTAGGAAACACTACTGGTGATGTATATAGCAACTAAATATATAAACCTGTAGGTTCTAAACATTAAAGTTAATAAAGAAAATTAGAGCACCACATGCACCCTATGATGTAATGCATCAGGGATAGTTAAAAAAAAAAAACATGCGAAAATAAGTGTTTAGTAACAAATTCTATAGTTCAACATAAAATTTTGTACTACAAACCTGATTGCTGATTACTATCAATTGAATAATTAGCATTTATTGCATAAGCAAAAGACCAAAGAATTTAAAATTATATATAACATTTTATTTAAAATAAATATAATTAAATCTCATTTGTTTACTGTTTTTTTTTTTAGAAATTTGTTCTGTTTAAATTGGCATCAAAAGTTAGGTCATCGATTGTAAATAGGTTCAAAGCTTTGACTCATGTGTAACCAAATAAATAATTAGGAATGTTAAAATTCGATCTGAACTAGTCTCAAAAAAAATAATTCAAAATACTTAAGAATGAGTTCATGATCTGGCATAGAGTCAAAGAATTTAATAAGGTTAAACTAGTTCTTAACTAGTCCTATTAGCATTGGAACAATTATCAAAACAAACTATATATTCTTTATTTCAAATTAGTGCAATCATAGAATTTTATGGATCTTATAAATTCTGCATATTACTATTGTAAAAAAAATATACAGAATTCATAAAATTTACAAAATTCTATTGTACTGATTCAAGACAATGATGAAAAAGTATTATTCATGTGACTCTTAGGATCTAACTCTTGAATAGTTGAGTCAAACTTAATGCATCCATGCTGAGTAGATTTAAAAACTAAATCCCACTTTTTCGTATATATTCAATTCTTGTTTTTTTCTAAAATTATAGTTAAAGGTACTTATCTATATAACTGTTATTCAAGCCTATAATTTGAAATTTAGGCAAATTATGATAACTTAGAATTTGAATAACAACTATAATATTTCTGATTTTAAAATGCAAATAACATCTTACACATGTACAAGACAGTTAAATAAAATAAAATTAAAAAATTGATTGTATGTGAATAATTAATTGATACTATAATATAATAAAATGCATATCTTTAGATTAAAGTGAATAATAAAATTATGTTAATAATAATGTTTAAGAGTAAAAAATTTTCAAGTAGGCGTAAATTTTTATTTTATGTAGCTATATAGTTTAAAACCTAGTTAGGAATTGGCTTCTTTTTTGTCATGATAAAATTTTGCAGGTTTCAGACGTGGACACTGTATTATAATTTAAGAGTATCTTTTTTAGCACTCGCATGAATAAGAGCACAATTTTAGCAATAATAGCATGAATAAAAGCACAATTCTAGCAATAATAACTCACATAAATAAGAGCACAATTTTAGCAATAATGACTCTAATTTAAGACAATGGGCTCCAGAGAAATGTTCTTTTCTTTTAAACATTTTATACAGAAATGTAAATATAAATAAAAAAGAAATTCTGACCTGATCAAAATTAATATTAAAATATATTATAATTAGCTCTTGTACATAATCCCACCTATCATTAAGAGATAATAGCATTCAACTTACTAAATAAAACTAGCAGCTAAAGCTCAACACATATACATTATTTGTTACTCAACTTAGTTGTAATCCTAATGATGTATTTCTGAAAAAAATATTGAATTATAATTATTTAAAATTGGCTCTAAATATCAATATAAAGATCATAGTATATTGTTTCTTCATCTATAATAATAGCATGTGAAAAATACAGACAAAAGAATAATGTTTAAAGCAATGTTGGCATTTGAACTAATTAAAAACAATATAGACAATATAAGGTCATAGTAATGTTTAATTTGGAATATAGGATTTGAACTGTGTTCAAATATATTCAAAAATATGAATATAGCCCAAACGCCAACACTAATTTTGAGACATCTTGAATGTTGAACAATAAAGTATATAAAAGCATAATATCTAAGGGAAATTTCACCATATTTCTTTTAAAAAAAAGTTTGTTCTATTTTTTCACTTATAATCAATTAGAGTTTTAAAATTATACCAAAATGTCTTGACATCATACAGGTGGCTCTGAAAGGTATAAGTTTACAACTGACATTATTGTGCTTAGTACAAAACTTACAAATAAGTATAATACTTATTGTGTATGTAAGGCTTGTGACAAAATACTTGGCTGAGAAGAAACTTTAAAAAACCCAATTACTAATAAAAAAAATATTGTTAGAAATCATCTTAAAAATTATGAACACTTTCATGCAAAAAGAAGGTCAAAAGAAGCAGTAAGGTCATATTGTAATAAAACAGATGATGAAGAGCTGGCTTCACAAACTTCAAAAAAACACCAAAACTCTGACACATCAGGTAATCAGTAAATACTGAAAAACCTTTCTAAATGCATTCTCCCTACACATATTACCTTCGTAAATACACTTTTAAACTCTCAGCTTAGATATATATTTAACCTTTGTAAAGCACTATCTTCATAATGCAATCTTATAGTTTTTTAAATACACATCATGAAGGGTTTGGTTTGGTTTGAACAGGATGCATTTAGAATATTTCTCTGTATTTGAAATTTAGACTATACAAATTTAACTTCTTGGCTTTTATAACATAAAACTTTTGAACAAATCCAGCCAGCCAGCTTTTTTTTTTTAATTTCATATATAAAATTTTATGAAATTTTTATAAAAGTTCTTTTAAAACCCCACCTGCTATTAAAACAAAAAAAAATTTTCAAAGTTTTCAAATTTGAACCCAGCTGGGTTATGAAAACCAATTAATTAATTTTGCATGATCTTATATTAAAATATATAAAAATTTTTTTTTCTTGAGTAGATGATATAAATGATGAAACTCTTAGTGTTTCTTCAACACCTTTAACACCTAAAAAACCAAGAAAAAAAGCATCAAAATCTAATATTATGTCTAATTTCATTGTCAAAGATGTTGCCGTAAAAGACAAACCTAAATTTGAGAAACTGTTACTTCAGATGACGATTTTGAATAGATGGGCTTTTAAATGGACAACAAATCAAGCAACTTAGGAGTTTTTTAAGTTCTTAAATTCAGACTTACCCTTTCAACTAAACAAGCTTTATCGAATTGTATTCTTGATGCTAAACAAAATAACTTCGTAAAATCACATGAACAAAAGTTAGAAAGAAATAGCATTGGAGTTACCTTAGTATTTGATAGGTAGAAAAATATTTTGAAACAAAATATTTTTGGTTTATTATTTATTTTATCAAATGAAGAAGTTCAAGTTTGAGAAATGATTAATATTAGTTCAGAATGAGAGCAGATAAATGATATTATTCCTAAAATTAAAAAAATGATCAGTGATACATCAATTATAGGAGCAAAACTATTAGCAATAGTTTCTGATAGCACACCTGCATATGCTGCTACTAGGTAAAAATTAAATTATACATGTTAACTAACTATTTCTTATAATCTTACCAGATCAATTATTGAAAAAATTATAATAATCAAAAAATAAAAGTTTTTTAAATGCAAATTTGAAGTTGTTGGGTAGCTATATCTAGGAAAAAAAAATTAGAATCAAAATTAGATGCATATTGTATACATAATTTGTGCATACTGCACATGTTATTAAATATTATGTGTGCTTTGCGTACAGTTTTATATTTTTTTGTGCGCAAAAAAATTTTTATATACAGAGCACACATATGCATATCAAATTTTTCACTGGCTATACCTAAGTCAAAAATATTACAAAAATAATTAATTTTGTGTCTTATATTATAATTCAATTTTTTAAATACTTATTCTAATTATTTTTAATAGATGTAGGCTATGATTGCAATATCCAGAAATTGTTTTTATCCCTTGCTTTGCTTATCAATATAATCTTGCTGTAAGTGAAATATTTAAGGAATCTGACAAATTTAAAACTGCAATAAAGCAAGCAATACAAATAGTTAGCTATTTTAATAATAGGCTCTATTAATATTTTATTGGAAAACTTCAAGACTTACAAAAGCAAATATATTCAAAATATATTGCTTTAATTTGTTCAGGCAATACTTGTTGGAATTCTTATTTTTATTGTTTCAAAAGCCTAATAAAATCCTAGCAAGCTTTAAGGATTAGTATTTAAAATATTATATTTTACCCAAAGTAATATTCCAGGATGCATACAATTTGAAGAAAGCAAATAATTAGTTTAGGCAAAAATTTTTAAAAACAAAATTACAATTCATATTTGGCTAAATTGATTATTAATACTCTTCAAATCATATGCCATCCCAAGATATTATTTTGAGTAAATGTATTACATTGTTTAAATAAATATTTAACCAAAAAATATATCAAATAAAATGTTAAACTTTTTAAAACTTAGCTACTACATTTGAATCGCCTTTTGATTCTTTAATCGATGATTCTAATAATGAAGAATCAGATGAACTTTATCTTCTACAAAATATTACATCAATTCTGCTTAATGACAATTTCTGGCAATCAATAACTTGACTAAGTTCTTTGCTTCTTTCTTATTGTAGTGCTCTTAACAATTTACAATCAGATACTGCTTGTCTTTATAATGTGCTACAGGCTTTTGGCAGAATATTAAAAATGTGGCAAGAACACTTGAATTATGATTTAGCACAATATATGATTTGGTGACTAAAGCAAAGATAGAATCAATAGGAACAACCTTTATTATTATTGGCTTTTCTTTTAAATCTGAATATTCATATTTCCTGGTTTAATACTAACAATTAAAATTTAAACTTTACATACCTTGCTCAATTTATTACTTATTATTACAAAGCATGGTTTGGGCATCAACCAATTTGTATTTTACTTGAATTAGAAGACTATAGAAAATGAAAATATTGCTTTGATTCTACAACATATGAACAATTTAAAGAGAATATATTAGGATTCTGAAAATTTGCTTCTTCTTTAACAAAAGAATTAGGTCTACTAGCACTATTTTTGTTTGGAATCTGTGTTAATGCTGTATCTGTAAAACGTCTATAGAGTTCAATGGAGTTTATATATACTAATCATCGAAATCATCTTACAGTAAGATTATTTTTTTTTTTATATATTTTTTGTAAAAAAATTTTTTTGTTAATAATATTTAGTATAGGTGGGCAAATATAATTATTATAAGAATATAATATATAAAAATTATTTAATTTAATTAATTTAAATAAATCAATAGACAAAATTTTAATATTCATATATTAGCTTAAAGTATTTAATTTTTATATATGATATTTTATAATAACTATATTTGCCTATCTATATTAAAGCTTATCTTTTTTTTTTTAATATAAAATGAAAAAGTATTAGCTATGTGCCAAATTCATGCCTCAATTAACTTTTTTTAATGCAAACAACAAGTCCATACCTATAATACTATGTATAACAAATTCAGCACACCACCAATTGGTAAAACTATAAATGTACAAAATGAATTTGAAGCAGATCTGAATAAAGAACACAACAGGTTGTATGATATAGAACTATTAAATCTTGAGGATTGGAAAAATCAATTACGTGATTGGGAACAAATGCTAACAAATGAAGAGGTTGCCAGATTAGAAGGTAAAGAGGAAGAACATGATAATCATAACAATATAGAAAGTGATTTGCTGAGCAATTATAAACATCTGGCAGTAGACAACAATACAAAATGGAAATTAGAGAGTTTATTTAGTATATTATTTCAAATGCCAAACTATATGAATAACAATAATTAGTTTATATATAATTTGATAAAATTGTATTTCAAAATACCTTTTATTTTTGTATGGCTTTATTCTGTCTTCATTTTGAAATATGATAAATGCTAATAAAGACAATCTAAATATCTAAAAATTTAACTAGTTACATTATTATTGTTATCTTAATTAAATAATAAACTATAAAATTCTATAAATAACATGACAAGAATAAGTTATGGTTAAAAGTTATAAAAAAATAAATTCAATAGTAGAAATCATATGCAGATAACTTACTATGAAAAATTTTTTTCTTTAGCTAAATGGATGTCCCTTTTAGCATTCAAACATTATATGAAAGTAATAGTAATTCTTGCTGATTTCTGAATCTGAATTGAACTAATATTTACATTAATTTAACTCAGAAAGATATTGATATAAAATTTAGTAAATTAAAAGAAGTTTCTAGCACATATGTCAAATAATAAATTGCAGCAGCATCATACTGTAATAATAATATTTTGTTAAGCAAAATTTATTTGTTATAGCTAACATTCCAATATATAAAATAATTGGTATTCAGACTTCAAATTTTCATGTTAAGCCTGTGATTCAAAATATATTCCTAATATTAGTACATATTTATTTTAAAACAGTAAATTAGAATATGGATCTGAAATAGATAAGTATGAATTTTGGATTCTTAAAAGAATTTTCTATATGGATCTAATCTCTGCAGTAAGCATAATATAAGCATTCACATCTAAGTAAATCAGTTCAAACATGTAGATCTATGTAAAGTTTCTTTTAACATGAGACAGAGATGAGATATTGCATTTTGCGCACTAAAATAATATGATCGAAAGAAAACTATATATGTATTGTACATATATAATAAAAAAGTAAGAGTTACTTGATATACAACTTTGCTTTTTTTGTATAGTATGTCATGTTCTACCAATGAGCATATGAAAATATGCGTATTTAACGAGCACATCAAAATATGCATATTTTATTGGTCACTATTCATGCATTTTGATTAAACAATATCATAGGTTCCAGTGAAAAAATTCTTCTAGTAAGAATTTTTCACTAGAACTACTAGAATATTGAAACAATTTGGACATCTAGTGGGGTTCTAATGGTCCAGTGCACATCACTAATATAATATATATTTAATTTATAAAAATCAGATTAACTCTTTCTACTGATCTTCATAACCAAAATTGGAACAGAAAGAAAATTATAGAAAACACAAAAGCCAGCAAGTAAAAGCACTGTTGTCAACTAAGCAAAGTTAAAGCTAAGAAGAAATTAGATAGAGTTTATTAGAATAGTAAACCAAGCTAACAACAATATAGTAGCTAGTCTTAACTTTTAGAGAAAATTTTTGCTCTTTGATGATAATTTTTTGTCAGAAAAAGGAAATACACAGAAACTCTGTACTGTAGATCATACATATAACATGTAAAGCAAGACAGAGTAAATAGTAAATACAACAAAACAAATAAACAAACACACAATCTTGTAGATAAACAAATAAATATAGATATATATAGTAAGACACATATTAAATTTATACAGATAAGATATAGAAATAATGCAAAGAAGTGTAACACAAAAAGTTCAATCAGTATCTACAGAGATCGACTAGTATAAGAAATTAGAAAAGTATCATGATATGTTTAACAAATCTGACAGAGTACAGAGGAATTATTAGATAGTCATAAATCAAGAATATTAAGAAAAGATGAAGAATTAGCCAAACTAGTCAGTACTGAAGCAGTCTTAGTTTGTGTGTTTAGAAATCCAATTGAAGTATATAATTACTGTAAGTATATACAAGTAAGAGACAATGAAAAACCAAAAAAGAATACTATAAAGCAATTAAGCAAAGACAAAGAAAAGAAAGAGATATTGCTAGAAAAAGAATGTGAATGCATAGATTATGGCACACTAGAGAAGCAAGCAAGAAAGAGCTTAGTAATAGAAAATAAAAAAGAAAAAGAAGTTAAGATAGAAGAAAATGAGCAGTAGAAGAACATAATCAATAATATAAAGACAAGCAAGAAACATAAGACAGATGAAGTAAAAGTGAAATACAAAGAAGAAAAGAAAGCTGAAGTAACTACAAATAGTGAACAAATATGAAACGAACAAATAAAAAACAAAGTTATACAGAGGAGCCAACAAGAATGCATGTAGATAGCAAGTTAAAGGACAATATCTATACAATGTAGAACATCTCAGTAGATGTAAGACCAGCATATATTAGAAAGTGTCTTTAGTTTTATGATAGAATTAGATTCATTTAGTAGAAAAGTTGTGGTAATAGCAAAGCAGCAATGTTTATTGTTGAGTTTAAAAATGAGAATAGAAAATCAATACTTGACCAAGCATGATCAGTGCATTTTAAAGAAGGCAAAACGTGTAGAGTTACTCCAAGTACTTTTGCAAGAGAGGTATTAGAAAGTAGAGCAACATATAAGACAATAATCAAAAATGTTCTAACAAAAGCAATAGAGGTGTTATTATTAAGACAACTAAAGGTAGTAAAGGTGAAAGCAGTTTATATTTCAGTAAATAAAAACAAGAATTAATGAAAAACTGCATCAGTCTACTTTAAAACAGAAAAAGACTTACTAATGACCATCAATAAGAAGCTATACTATTATAACACAAGACTAGATTGGTGTAACAGAAGAGCATTCAAAAACATGAAAACAAAAAGAGAAAAGAACAAAGATATAAAAGAACAGTTCATGAATAAAAGCATACAGTATGAAAGACAATCGAAAAGTCAAGAAAATATAAAGAAAGAAGAGAGTAACAAAGAGAATTAGCAAAGAAAAGATAAAGAAGTCTACAGAAAACATAACGATAGTATGAAGACGAAAGCAGTTAATGTGAAGGAGCAAAAAAGTAAACTACAAGAGGTTCTTAGTAGAATATTAAGAAGACTTAACAACATCAAAGAAAGAAAATTAGAGAGCTTGCTCTCAGATTGCTTCTGAAAGTTGTCATAGGCATCTTTTAAGAAGAAGTGTCCACTCTGTCAAATATAAAGTTAGAAAGCAGTAGTGAAAAATTGGCACATAGTATAAGCAGATATAATAAGAGTAGAAAGAGGATAACAAGTGCTAAGATAGCATGTCACAACATAAATGAAATAAAGCATAACAAGATCAAACTAAGAACAATAGTTGAGTAGGCAAAGGAAGAAAAAGTAGATATTTTGGGATTAGTAGAAACAAATAGCAATAGTAAAAAGCTGAAATATAGTTTAGAGGACAATTATTATAGAGG